CAGTTGGGTTAATAACCCGAGCCCATTCTGAGTTGTGCCATTAGAACAAAAAATATATTTCACAGAATGTACTTGTGGTTTGCTTTTTTAAAACAAATAAGATCTCATTAGATAAGATGCCATTGAAAAATGCAGGACTATAGCAAGACATACCAGTTAAGGCATTTTATTTTTTTATCCCTCAGAAAGTGGCAGCAAACAGGTTATTTTTGAATTTCTGACAATAATAAAATCCATGCATCAAGAAGCCATGCTTATCATGAAATAGTGCACTTGTTATATAATCAAATGCCAAATGACGTCCTTGGTTTCATCTTAGAAAAATATAATTTCAGATAAGTCAGCACCATACTGGGCTGCTAGCTCCAATTGCCTTTCTTTTCAACCGAATGACCTACTTTTCTCTGGTATTTAATGGTCAGTCTTCTTTAGAGGGTAACTTACACTATACAAATCCATGAGAGAGAGCGTTGGAGCACACCTTCCCCTCAGGGACTACGCCAGGTTTTCTTACATCAATTCCCCCAACGTAATTTGCATACCGCCCTCCCAATCTTTGCCATTTCCACATAGCAACACAAGACACTTTCATGATTTTTAAATCATATGTGGGTACACCTGTGCTATTATTTACTTAATGTATTTTAATTAAATTAACTCATCTTTTAAATGTTAATATATTTCTTTAGAAAAGAAAACCATGTCACTGCTGCCTTAGACAAAGGGGCACCACCAGCCATGAGCGGAGGCTACACAACCCCGCCTGCTATTTTCCTTTATCTCACTTGTTCCTTTGCTACTGCCTGTTCTTTACTGATGGACGCTCCAGGAGGTCACGGCTTGACCTGTGGTGTTCATGGCCATAGGCCCAGCACTAGTCAGAATAAGTAGAGAGAGCATTGCCTGCACACTTGTTGAGAGAACGCAGGTGTCTATCCTTCTTATCATTCATCACATCTAAATTTCGTGTTTCCATTTTAACCATACCAAGGACCAGCACAGAAAACTTCTTTGATCAAACGAGATCTGAGCAATGCTATTAAATTCTAACTGCAGGTGTTAAAGATTTACTAGAACCAAATCAAAACATTCTCCTTGACTGGGTCAGAACTTGAGAAATGGGGGAAAAGTAGCTTTCTTATCCAGTGATTGTTACTCAGTGCCAAGTTGCTAACACCTAGCACAGTCTGTTTTCAGCAGAGGTGAGAGTGCAACCCTTTGAGAGATGCTGCCTTGTGGCAAGAAAAGTCATTTGCTCTATTTCAAAGGAGCTGGAAAAATCTATCTGAGTTAATGAATCCATAAGCATTTCCCTTCTCCATTGCCATACCTTCCTGACATTGCTCACGTAAAACACGGTTTCAGCTGCATCAGCCTCCAGCCCCAATGGTTTCCCACAAAAGGCAGAAACAATGAAGCAAATGTAGGCAATCCATTGTTTAAAATAAATATAAATCTTAAACACTTTTGATCATTTATTCTCCCGGCTTTCTATATTACAAACCCAGGGTATATAGTCTATTTGAAAATAGCCCACATGTTGTAAGGAGATTGATAAAAATGAAAGATGAGTTAGGACTACACACACACCATTTTCCCCCCAAACAAAAAGTATAATTAATTCATGAACATAGCAATCTTATGTGCAGCTGATCCACCATAAGCGTGCCAGACAGGGCTCTGGCTCCAAGTGGAGAGATGACATTGATAAAGGATGCGAAGGAAAGTTTGGAACCTCTGTTACTGGGTTTGTACGATATAGACCAGCATTTCCAATGAATGTTGATAGGTGTTAGTTTAAAAAAGATTGGGAAACATATTGATAAATCAAAGTATTTACTGTTAGAAATCTTCAAAGCCTTTGAAATGAGGACATACACCATGAAAAACTCAGGACAACAGGGAGATGTAATATCTTATATTTCCCAGTCTTACTTGACTAAAGTGCCACTCTCCCTGTCATTGTTTTCCCTAGCGTGTTCTATACATGAAAGTTCTAAAAGCCCACTCTCAGACAAGCTGGGTTATGTAATGCACTCCTGGATTTATGACTGTACTTGAAAAAAAAAAAAAGACAAAAGCCAAATTCCTTGCAGATACATGATAGAATAGGTGTTTGTGTTCCAGTTATTGGGTGAAACACTTGGTAGTAACATCAGTAGAATTTATGAGTAATAAATAAAACTGGCTTGAATGGAATTTTAGTTTTAGAATGATTAAATAAATATGAGTATCAGCTGGCTGTAAGAAAGGCCAAGGACAAGGGTTAGAAGAAGAATAGGGCAGAAAAAAGGCTAACCTTGCCAGATGATGAAAGAATTTTTAGAACAGATGAAAGCTAACCCTCCAAAGGATACTTTTTGAGATAATCAAAATCAAATAGAGATGATAGCTGGAGATCACTAATGGGAGAAGAGGGGATGAAAGGAGTAGGAATATAAGTTTCAAAGAAAAAAAAAATGATGGAGAGGATTCTCTAAACAAGGGAGGGAGGAAGGAAATGCATCTGCACAAACAGGCTCATCTATCCTCCAGATAGAACTGGTGGCGGAGGCAGACTACCAGAACGGGGCTATGACAAAGGAAAGATAAAGAAGACACACAGGAAGAGAACTGCGGGTTTAGATGGAATATGAGTAGAATTTATAAGGAGAATTTATATAGAAAGGATAAAGGAAAAGACAGGAAGAAGCAAGAGCATGGCAAATTTCACACTCTGGGTCTATGAAATGGCAAACACAGAGCAATCATACTCCTTCCACTGGCATGGCAGACATTATAAGTTGATCATTGCACTGTTGTCCTCTGAATACAGATTTGGCTTCAGAACATTTCTCAACACAACACACTAGGTAGCCACTGTGGACTGATTTGACTTGCATTCCTACTATATTAAGAAACCAACCAGCCAACTAACCAGCCAGCCAAACAATCAACCAACCAACCTACCCTCAGTGGGGTTTTGTATAATAATACCACTCATTGATTGAAGAGGAATAAAAATATTATACACCAGCTAGAAAAGCAAAATGCTTCAGTGTGAAATGTTTCTTTATACAGACATAGTGATGTACATATACGGATATGAGTGAATATACATTTGAAATATGAATACTTCAAGTAGGCACACCCAAGTATTCCATATTAATTTGTCATTTGAAACTCAGTTTTAAACATTCACAAGCACATGAAATTCAGCTCATCATTTACCTTGGCAACTGACATCTTTAAACCCAGTAAGATGATACAAATTATATTTTTAAGTTAAAATACCACATATAAAGCAACAGCATGTTAGAATAATCAGAGCCCTTTCCTTCCTTATTTCACTTGTGACACTATATTGGGCCCAACATCTTAAAAGTTTGGCAGAAATATCAAGTATATGGCACTTTTTTTTTTCAGAGAGGAAGGGAGAGGGAGAGAGAGAAAGAGAAACATCAATGATGAGAAAGAATCATTGACTGGCTGCCTCCTGCCCGCCCCACATTGGGGATTGAGCCTGCAACCCAGGCACGTGCCGAGACCAGGAATCAAACCATGACCTCCTGGCTATATGGCACTTTTTAAAAGCACATGTGAATAACGCAGCATGATATAATAGCATTGATAATGACCAGGCCATGGCAACAGTGGGAGAAACGTTGAGATTTCATCAATAATAAGTTTTTAAAAACTACATTCATTTACAGTTTGAAACTAATTTTCAAAAAAAGAAGAAGGGTGGCGAGTGACAAGTTGCATGGGTTCCCATTTCCTTCTGCAAATGCTCATTAATTTCACGCAGCTTCTGAGCATCTGAGGCCTTTGCCTATTCATGCAAAGAACCACTTGAAGGCATACAATGTCCTCATATTTTCTCTAGTCTGGGAAACATTCAGTGCTTTCTTCAAACTATTTTGTCTGAACATCCTGGCAAGTTATTCATGTCCTGCTAAAGAGGGCATAATACTGCGAAAGAGGACAGGCTATAAGCTGCTGTTTGAAGCTTCCCCTTTTATGATTTCATTATGAATTAATAACAATAAGAAAGAATTCTCATTAGTTGAAGTTGGCTTAATTGAGATAGAAAAGAAAGAGAGAGGGGCACCTGTTAGGCAGAGAAGAGAGCAGTGATCTCTCAAGAACCCTTAAGATATAAGAGCTGTTGACCCAAATGAATTCATCATCACTCACATGTCCCCAGGCTTTTTTCCCTCATCGTGAGTCCCCTTCCTGCCTCAGTGGCAGCTTAGGCATACCTTATTCTCGGACCACCAGTCCCACTGGCCTTTCAACTCGTCCTTGCCACAGGGCCTTTGCACAAGCTGAATCCTCCTGGAACCCACTTTCCATTCCCTCTGCCCTTGCTCAACTTTTATAATATTAGGCCAAATGGCTTGTGACTCCTAAGGAAAACCTACTCTGACTGTCTCCACAAATTGGTTTAGGCCCTCCTGCTATCTTCTTTCAAAGCACTCTTTTCTCCTCAGCATTTATAACTATTTGTAGTTATTAATTTCTGTGATTATTTTTCTGTTGCCCATCCTCAAGTGAAGAACTGTCAGGCTGTAACAGTGACTATTTGAGAGCATGATAAATACGCACAGACCACAGGAATGATGTGTTAGGTTTAACGTCACAGATTTCTTTGCTGATATATTTATAACTGTGGCACATAATGATTTTGGGGGGGAAAAAACCTGTTTCTATAATAAACCAAATATTATTAGAAAATATAATAAGACCAAGTTATGTCCAACTTTCCTGCACACAACACTGAAGGATGGAAGTTGGGACTCTCTGCCTCCAGAGAAGAAGTTGTTTCTCTAATTTCCTTTTGTTCTCTGCTTTAGAGGAACTTGAACATGTGTTATGGCTGCTAAATAAAGTGTAATCAAGTCATCTTGTTTAAAAAATCACCCAAGTATATGCTTTCTAGAATTTTCCATGGAAACTGGACCTTGCAACCCCTTGATAACAGCCTTGTGGGCAATAAATGGCGGAGAAACAACACTTACGTGGGCTTAGAAGCCTCGGCCTGGTCGGTCTGCAGTTTCTCTCCCCCTTCCACCTCCATGGTGCAGTACACGATGCGATTGGGAGCCAAGGATTTGAGGCCTTGCACTTCCATGATCACAACCTGAAACAATCACACAAAGTGGGAGTTACTGCCAAAGACCACAGGCAGACTCATCGAGAGGAAACACATGCATGAGGAGAAGTTACAGGAAAGCCAGCACATGCCTGATGGCTTCTACTAGGTTTCTACCAGCCCACTGGGACCAGTCTAGCATGAAGATGTAATTCTGACTGTGGAGCTTATTGCCTCCCACATGGAAAGGCAAGTCCCACTAATTCATATGCTCATGGGGGCCAGACAGGTCATGTGAAATGGCTATTCTTTTCTATGTGAGTCGCAGGGTCCATTTCCATTTCCACAGAGAAATCTGCTATCTTCTATTTCTTTAAAATTATTCTAGTTTTTAATTCAGCACTTGGCAAAGGCCCATGAGTTTACATCAGCCTTCATAGTAAGGTAAGTGAAGATGGAAGGGCTAAGGTTAAGGGCCAGTAGCATTCAGCATTGTGGGACTGTGGCAACTGGAGAGCATGTTCCATCTAAGTGGAGCATCAATAGTCCTCACAGCCCGCGTGGCCTTGCCTTTCCCTGGCCCACTGTTGCCAGATATTCTCATTTTTCCTACCAGAAAATGAAAATCTGAATCGGAATCTATCAGAAAGCGGGAGGGAATGAGGAGAGGGCAGAAACAAGGGTGTAAGAATCTGAAACAAATGGCATGCATCAGAGATCTAGAATGAGCAATATATATTGAAAAAAAAAATCAATTATACTCTTGAAGAAGTAATACATTACACAAGGAGGGGATGTGGGAGTGGAAACAGGTACACTTCTGTATGGGCTTGATTCCAGGAAGTGCAATAAGGCTGACATTGAACCAGGATTCACAAGTCAGCTTTGCTGCTCATCAGCCCAGTGGCTCTTAAACTTAGTGTGAATACAAATCACTTGGAGGGCTTGTGACACCAGAGACTACTGAGCTACACCACCAGTTTCTGATAAGTAGGTCTAGGTTGGGGCCCAAGTCTTTTAAAAATATATAGATTTTTAAAAATTGATTTCAGAGAGGAAGGGAGAGGGAGAGATAGAAATATCAATGATGAGAGAGAGTCATTGGTCATCTGCCTGCTGCATTGCCCCACATTGATGATTGAGCCCACCAACTGGGCATATGCCCTGACCAGGAATCGAACCTGGTTCATTGGTTGATACTCAACCATTGAGTCATGCTGGTTGGGCAAGACCTTATTTTTCACTATTTCCCTGGTGATACCAACGTGTTGCTGCTGATTCAGGAGTCATCCTCTATGAACCAATGCACTTCTCATGTGATGTTGGGCAAGTGACTCGTTCTGGAAGTCACTCCACTTTTCAAACTCCTGAGCCTCAGTTTCCTTATCTGTATTGTGGACAAATGTGTCCTCTCTTACTGTGGCTTTTGTGTGAGGACCACATGATGTATGTAGTTGAAAAATTTTAATGAGGAAGAATCACAGAAATGAGAAGAAATGGGAGGCACGGAAGAAAGAACACACTTTTTGGAACTTAAAAGGTCTGAGTTCAAACCTCGAATCTGCATCTTTACTAGCTGTGCAATCATCTATAGGCTCCTTAACCTCTCTGAGGCTTTGTTTCCTCATCTGCAAATTGTTGTGAGGATCCCTGAGTGGAGAGTGGCAGAGCCCGGTCCACAGTGGCATGTGTTAGGTACCTAAGGTTTTCATCAGAGCTCCCCACTGCCCACGGCCATGCCACTCGGCCTCCCGGACCTTGGTTCTCAGTTAACTGCTCTCTGGTGTCTCTTCCAGCAGGTAATTCTATAATTACATGAAACCTGTCTTGTTCCAACCTGAACACTCAAACCAGCCTTCCCTAATGAGATGACAGCCGTTCTCCCTCTTCCTGCCTCCTGTCTTTGTGGCGCCCAAACATGCTCACAAATAGATATACAACGATTTTTGCTGGCCATTCTGGTGTGATGTGCGATTTTGTGTTTTAATTTAAAAGCATTGGGGAGCCCTGGGGTGCTTTATTCTGTGCTTGTACTTACAGGTGAAAGCCTGTCTGAACCATGCACACATGTGAGGATAGCTGGGGACTCACTGACATTGGCATTTCAGCTAATCAGCTCTATAACATTGTCTACCAGTAAAGACTCAGAAAATTACAGATTTAAAAGCTTCATGCAAATCAATAAAGCACGTTTTCTCCTCTCTGTAGAACGACGAGAAGCAGCCGGGAATAAATTGCCACCTCTAATTGGCAATAATCAAATTCAAAGACACCTAAGAAAAAGCATTCAGTGCCTCGGGTAGTGGTATTAAAAAAGAAAGAAAGGAAGTTTCTGTGAAATTACACTGATGACTTTTCACACAACAAATGGTCTATATTTAACCGAATACTGCCTCTTTTGACAGCAAAATGCATGTCGGAAATACTGTAATGTGGCTATCTCAAACCCAAACTGAGCACAAGCAAATTACCCACAGTTAATTCGCAGCAAGCCTTAATGATGTTCTAGAAAATTAATTCAGTTTTTACACAATCTAATTACATCTACAGAAATTTGATCTCTTCTCTTGGTCTCCCTAAATCTAGGGCCATCGTAAAATCCTGGGAGGTAGAGCTGTAATAAGATATGAATGCGTCTCAAACTTGGGAGTGCATAGAAGTATGTGAGTATGAAATGCTGAAAGATATTCTTGAAGAAGAAGAAGAAGAAGAAGAAGAAGAAGAAGAAGAAGAAGAAGAAGAAGAAGAAAAAGGTAAAGATAAAAATTATGAAAAACAAAGTGACAACAAATACATATCTATCAAGTGAATCTAAAAATCAAGTCAATAAAAAAATCTGATGAACAGAACAAACTGGTGAATGTAATAGAATCAGGGGCATAGAAAGGGAGTGGATGGACAATTCTTGGGAGGAAAGAGGTGTGAGGGGTGCAAGAAGAGATTGGAAGAAAATCTTATACCTATGGATGAAAACAGTGGCAGGTGGTAAGGGCACGGGGTTGGGGGTGGTGGTGGTGGAATCAGGTGGAGAGGAGCTATAGGGGGCAAGGGCAGAAAGAGGAACATCTGTAATAATTTGAACAATAAAGATTTACTTTTTAAAAAAAGAAGTATGTGGGTAGCTCATTAACATACATATTCCTGGCTTGCATTCACCTAAAGATTCTTTTCTTTCTGATATCTTTATTGAGGCACTAGAGGCCCAGTGCACGAAATTCGTGCACGGGGGTAAGGTGGGGGGGTGTCCCTCAGCCCAGCCTGCACCATGTCCAATCTGGAACCTCTCAAAGGATGTCTGACTGCCCATTTAGGTCCAATCCCAATGGGCAGTTGGACATCCCTCTCACAATCCATGACCGCTGGCTTCCAACTGCTTGCCTGCCTGCCTTTTTGATTGCCTCTAACCGCTTCTGCCTGCCAGCCTGATTGATGTCTAACTGCTCCCCTGCCAGCCTGTTTTCCCCCAACTTCCCTCCTCTGCTGGCCTGGTCACTCCTAACTGCCCTCCCCTGTAGGCTTGATTGCCTTCAACTGCTCTCCCCTGCAGGCCTGGTGCCTCCCAACTGCCCTCCCCTGCTGGCCATCTTGTGTCCACAAAGGGGCAGGATCTTTGACCACATGGGGGCAGCCATCTTGTATGTTGGAGTGATGGTCAATCTGCATATTACTCTTTTATTAGATAGCATAGAGGCCTGTTGCAAGGGTGGGAGCCAGCTGATTTGCCCTGAAGGGTGTCCCGGATCAGGGTGGGGATTCCCTTGGGGCATGTGGCTGCCTGAGCGAGAGACCTGTGGTAGTTTGCAGGCCAGTGATGCCCCCCTGCAACCCAAGCGGAGGCCCTAGTATCTGGGATATATTTACTTTTTACAATTGAAACTTTGTACCCTGGAGTGAAACCAAGCCTCCTGCTCACTCCAAGCCATTTCTGTTTGGATTTGTTTACCTTCTATAATTGAAACTTTTTAGCCTTGAGTGGAGGCTTAGGCCAGCAAGGGCAGGCAGAAAGCTTGGCTTACTCCATTGCCGGGGAAACACCTTCCTCCTGATCTCTGTGGCTGTAGCCATCTTGGTTGGGTTTATTTGCATACTCACTCTGATTGGCTGGTGGGCATGGCTGGTGGGTGTGGTTTGTGGAGTGGAATGATGGTTAATTTGTATATTACTATTGTATTAGACAGAATATAAGCAAAGATTTTAGCAAATTTATTAAGTTGTGTGGCCATCATCATAAATTAGTTTTAGGTCCCTCATGTCTGTGTCCAACTCCTGCCTCAGGAAACACTAATTTCTTTTCTGTTTCTGGAGCCCTGCCTTTTCTGAACATTTCATATCAATGAACTCAAACATGTGGTTGCTTGTATCTGGATTATTTCACTAAGCATGAATGTTTTTGAGGTTCAATAAATCAGAGCATGCTCTGCCAGTGTAGCTCAATCATTGAGCATGGACCCATGAACTAGGAGGTCATGGTTTGATTCCTGGTCAGGGCACATGCCTGGGTTGTGGGATCCATGCCCAGTAGGGAACATGCAGGAGGCAGCTGGTCAATGATTCTCTATTATCATTCATGTTTCTAACTCTCCTTCTTCCTTCCTTTCTCTGAAATCAACAAAATCATATATTTGTTAAATTTCAAAGCATATATCAGTAGTTTATTCCCTTGAACTGCTGAACAGTATTCCTTTGCCTGGACGTACAAAAACTTTTCCATTCCCCAGTTGATACACATTTAGACTATTCTGTTTGGCCATTGTGAAGGATGCTGCTGTAAACAGTTGTGAGCATGTTTCTGTGGGATGTGTTTTCAGTTCTCTGGGGAAGATATCTAGGAGTGGAGTTGCTGGACGTACCGTGGTTTTATGTTTAACTTTTTGAGAAAATACCAAACTATTTCCACAGTGACTGAACCACTTTGAATTCCCACCCCCTAGAGATTTGGGTCAATAGGATCTGCAGTCTGAACCAGCTTCCACGCAATCCTGATGAAGCTGGATCAGAACAACTCCTTAGAGTGTATGTCCGAGCAGCAAACATCTGAGCAGAAGTTATGGAGAAGCGTAATGACATTCTGAGCATTCTACCAGAATTCTGGCCCCAGTGGGTTTTCCCTTTGGGTTGTGAGGTCAACTAAAAAGGCTCACCACAATCACAGGCTCCCTGCAGGGAGCCAACGGGAGAGAAGATGGGAAAGAGAGTTTACAACTCACCACAAAATGCTGCTCTATGCTTCCTGTCATAACTTCAACCCAGGTTGCCCAGACTTTAAACTTTCTAAATGGCATAGCTCTTTATAAAATCCTTGATCACTGGCTTAAGACAGTAAAAGTAATGTGAGGTGAAATTTAGGAAGTGGTTCTTGAGACTGCATTTTCTTGAGAAAAGCACGGGCTCCCGGAGGTAGGGAATCGCTGCTGATTAGCTGGGCCTGCTCAGCAAGCGGTGCTTTTAGGACCTGCTCCTGGGGTGTAAGAAAGACACAAGCTGATTGTGAGGCCTCCGGTCCCCGCGTGCTGCCCGCTGGGCCAGGAGACTTCCGAGGGGCTCGAGCTTTATACCTCCAAGGAGAAAGCCAGCACGACGTCCGACTTAGAGAGCTGGTTCTCACTCTCCTCGCCCAGGTCGATGATGGAAGCATTGTGGCTGCGCTTGAGCTTCTGAAGCTTGAACTCCCCGCCCTTGGACACCGGCATGCTCTCCAAGTTGGCCATGAGCAGGTTGACGGACGACTTCAGCTCCTCGATGTACATGTTTTCCATTTCTTTGGATACAAACTTGGGGAATTTGCGTTCCTGGAAGAGAAAAAGAAAAAAAATGTAGTACTAACAAAAACAGACCCAGAGACAAAGAAGCCGCGATCAGACTGCGGGACCTCAGAGGGAAGGTAGGGCAGGGTGTGGGTAAGAGGGAGAGATCAATCAAAGGACTTGTGTGCATGCATATAAGCCTAACCAGTGGTCATGGACAATGGGGGGGTAGGGGCATGCATGGGGAGGGGTTTGTGATGGGAATGGGGGGATGAGGACAATTATGTGATACCATAATCAATAAAGAAATTTTTAAAAAATGTACAGAGGCATAAATAGAGAGTGATTTACATAGATTTACATTTTAAAGCCCAGAGTTAGGGTAATAGCCACCACCCAGGAGCTTTGCACGTGCTAGAAAAATGGTCAGCCTAGTTGAGTAGACAGCTGCCTGCCTTCTACTTATAATCCCTAATAGTTACAAGTGGATATAAATGTAGAGTAAGGGTCAAATGTTTTATTATAGTTCTATTCTCTTCCCCTACTCCAACCCCCAGTTTTCTCTGATCAGTGGAAAGAAAAATGGGGTGATATTTTTCAAGTCTGGTTTCAGTTGTAACAGTGTTTCTTTTTAGAGAAATTCAATTGGTTGTTTTTAATTATGTTGACAGAAAGACACCTTATTTCTGGATATTTATATAGAAATGTTCTCACATGAATAATTCAAAAAAGATCTCATTTAAGATGTTTTGAACATAGCCTGTGGCTATTTCTAAAAAAAATAGTTACTTTTTTCAAAAAAATTTGAAAAAATTATTGAAGCAATGAAAAGCATGAGTGATATAATTTAGAAAAGAATATAAAGCAATTCAGTATCAAAACTGACTTTTTTTTCACTTCCTTGCTTATGGATTTAGTTATAATAGTAATATGCCTTAGTTGTACTATTTGTGTGTTCATGCCTCTAAGTTGTCCAGGTGCCTTGAATATACTTTGGATTTATCACTTTCTTAAATAATAATTTCCTACTGGAAACATCAAATAGTCCTCCCTAGTCCACTCTATAACTGATCAGGTGAGGGGCAAGACAAATCAATTTTATATATATATTTGCCAGTGACAGAAAAATCCAATTTGAACTGGCTTGAACAATAAAAGCAATCTATTGGCTTGAAATGTCCAGCTGTAATCAGCACTCTGGTGACATTACCACAACTGAATGAGTTTTTACTCCAAATCTCTGTTTGGGTTCCTCTAGGTTGGCTCCATGCTCAGTCTTGCTCCTCTCAATGTCACAAAAAAGGTTACTAAAGATCCAAACCTCATAACATCCCATCACAAAAGAGTGAATATCTCCTCTTGTAATGCCCATTGAAGATGAGAGTCTTTAATCTGAGAATTCTCTCCCAAAAAGTCTGACTTATGTATATACTTGGGACCAATCTCTAAGTCCAGAAGCATGCTGTGCTAAATTGTTTAGGCATGAGTTACGTCCTTCATCCCTGAGACTGGGAATAGAACTCTACCTAGATCACAGGAATATGAATTGGTATGCCAATTCTGGGTGGCAAAAAGTAGTATGTTTATTGCATGGGCACCTGACTCAAAGTCAACCAACCAATACTATTAAAAGGCCAATGATCAACCAGATTTAGTCTCTCAAGCAATTGAACTGAGAGATATTGAGATTGCAGTGAGTGGTGGAGCTGAAACAGTAGATCATGTAGATTCATGAGTAGCTGCCATAAAAAGCCCTGGTGGAAGCAGAGTAAGAAGCCTGGCAAAGAAGAGAGAAAAAGATGTAGAGAGAGGAAGAGAAGGAGAGGAGGGGAGGGAAGATAAAAGTGAGGAATAAGCTGTCTAGAGTCATAGGAAAGGAGCTTTGACTTCCACTGGTGTTGTAATTCCCACATAATGAAGTTATTCCTTTTCCATTCTAGTTCCTTGAACATCTCTTATTTTGTTTTCAATAATTCCCCCTACCCACTAGTTAGCTAGAAGGATATGTCGTCTTTGACACCATAAAGCTTCACTCAAATTCACACAGGGGCTTCTCTATAGAGACTCGGAGATGCATTTTTGCTATCCCAATATTCTTCCTACAGAGACCGTCAGAGTGTTTCCCTTTCCTCTGCCTCCCTGGGTAACTCTCAGCCATCTTGAAGGAGGCCAAACAGCAAAGGTTACATCCTAACAGAGCTATTACACTGACCTCTTTTCTGTTCATATTGGAGCCAAACCTCAGAACAACCTGGACAGCTGGGTAAGTGGTATCTCTGATTCTTACTGGCAGCTGCTGGCCTTAGAGTCGCCATGGAGATAGAGAAAAAGCCATCATGTCTATGAAGTGTGTGCTTTCCTGAGAATCAATCTTGAGAGACCTTACTATCCAGTACAGAATCCTTTTATCACAAGCATCTTCCGAGACTACTCAAGGCTGTTTAACTCTACAGTCTTGCAGTTTTGGAAGAAGACACAGTGGTCACTGATAATATCACTGTGGCCTAGAGTTTGCGTCCACCAAACTTTTATGTAGCAGAATATTGGACAAATCCAAAGAATGATACTCCTCTCAGAAGTTGGACAGTCCCCAATGACATCGTAAAACAGGCACATAAAACTGAAGTGTGCAAGGGACAACAAGGCCATTTTTCTGCCCCGAGTTCTCAAGCCTTGAGAAGAAATAGCATCGTGTCGACCTAAGCTGAGGTTCTTGAGGGGAGTTTTCAGCAGCAGACCCCTCACAAACACATTTCAAACCTGACGTGCCAAAATAAGGAAAACAGAGCTGTCCATCTTGGTTGTACTTTTCCAAGCGTGAGAATAAATTAGCCCCGACGAAAGGATTGCTTGTTCATACTGCGTTATGAAATACAGGGCATACGGTGAACAAAGTCTTCCAGAGAAAATATTCGCTGGACATTTATTTTTTGTTTCGGGCTGATAACATTCCTCAGTGGGGAGGGCCTCCCAAGGACAGTCCCCACAGGCCAGTGTGCTCAGCAACATGGAGGGATTTGGGGAACATCTTGAAAAATGGCATTTGAAAGTGCTAACAGCTGTCGGCCATTCGCTTTGTTTGCTGTCTTTGCATTTTTACCACAGAGGATGAGTGCGGACATGTAAAAACTAACAAGCATACTCCACTCATAGGGGATCCTTAGACCCCAAGGGCTCAAATGACATGTCCTGGCGGACAATCAGAAGAAAGGAAGTGGCAGAAGAACACTTCCTAGATGCAGGAGCTCACCACAGTGGTACAGTCACTCAATTCCATCTTTAAAGTGCTTCCTATCGTGTGTCGGATAGTGTGGTTGCTGCTGGGGACAAAGGAGTCAGGAGAGGCAAAGGGATGGGGGGCCATGGCAGAAAGCAACCAATCAGACACCGTGTGACACATGAGGTAACAGAGGCATGTACAAAAGCCACCAGGGAACCATATCCCATCCACACCAGCAAGAATGACTTCACCTCCTTTGAGTCCTGGGTCTGCTACTTACTAGCTGTGTGACTTTAGATAGTTTTCTTAGCCTGACGGAAACTTAGTTTCCACCTTAAAAATGGGGATATAACAAATCTCATACAGTTATTGTGAAGAGTAAGAAATAATAACTAATTCCTTTGGCCACTGACTGTGTGCATGTGTGTGAGTCTAAACATATATATATGCATATATACACATTTAATCATACTCATATACATATTCACACACATATATGAACACATACTACACATATATGAACATATGCATATGCACGCACATGCGTATATGAACATGTATATATACATATTAGCATATACACATATGGAAATATACATCAGGCACCATGCTACCACCAATAACACCAACAATACTACTACTAATGATAGTGACAATACTAAAGGTCATGATACTAATTGGCATTTATCAAGTGGTAACTATACTAGGCACTAGTCTAAGCAGTTACATTTCCTTATTTAATTTGTCAAACAATCCATTGAGTCTAGTGCTCTTATTTATTCCTACCTCCTGGAGGAAAACAAGGCTTAGAAGTTAAATCAGTCATTAGTAGAATTGTATTTGAAACCCATCATACAGTAGGGCAGAGCTGAGGTAAGCATGATGTGGGCTTGCAGCATGCAACGCCTCACGTCCCAGCATTCAGCACAGAGCTGTGACACTTTGTTCTCCACAGCAGTGGTCGTTTCACAATTACCAGTGAATGTGGGTGGTGGGCAGGGGTGTGGCCACTCCACTATTACCAGTGAATGTGGATGGTAGGCAGGGGCGAAGTATGAGGGAGTGGGTGTTAAACAAGAAAATGAAGGTCTTGGCAGTAAAGGTATCATAGTTGCCTGGGTCGGTTTCTTTACTCAGACCTTTCTTTGAGTGGCTTGGTCTTACTCTCTCAGCTTTTATGACTTGGATGGACTTCCTGTCATTGGAATAAACTTCAGAAGACCTCTTGGCATTAAGACTTTTCCTTGAACTCCGATTTCCCTGGGTCCTTAGCTCCCTGACAAAGGCCAGATGCTTCCTACAATTCTTTCAGGAAAAACAATGAGCTCAGCTCCTCTGTGCTCACGGATACTGTACCACTTCATGCGCAGAGTGGATGCCAGGTACAGCAAAATTAATGTATTAGCTGGGGGCAGTATCATTCTCTGGTAGGGGAGGAGTCCATTGTCTGTTTTTTGGCAATGTATGAAGCAGAACTTTTCCATCAGGGAAATGTTTGGATATTATTTCTTTCCTGGGGGCATGTTCTCATCAATGTTTGCAACAGGACCATGTAATGAGATGGGAATTTTGCTCTGCAGAGAATAGGGGTCTAAATGGCAACTTCACATTTAGATCATAGCTTGTAAAAACAATGCTATTTTGCATCCAGACCTCTGCTACTAATACTACAAAGGCTATATTGTTTGTCTTATCTAATTAGCCCATGAATTTTGGAATTTTACTCTAAACTGTAGCCAAAAGAACTGATATCATAACAGCATCAATGCACAATCTGCCTGGGTAAGCGCCAGTGTCATTTACTGATCACACAGTTTAAATAACTTAGACTTAATCCCTGGGTGAAATTTGGGGACCTTTATTATCAACCTTAGAGGATTTGGGGAAAATGTTTGAACAGCGATTAAAAGGTCTTTTCTACCGGATTACAAAAAATACATTTAGAGCTCATGGAAGTTTGCAGGCAGCATTATGTCTGGTGTTCACAGTGGGGGTGAGGGCAGAGGTTCCTGTCTGATAATTCGTGGTGCACTGGTGTGATTAAATTGGTAGGTACTGTATCAGGACTGTGGGTAGAGGAAAGCCACTTTGCACCTGCTTTCCTTCTCTCTTAAGAAGAAAAGGCAACATGTGTCTTTCATACGTGTGTGACGATAAGAATGCTGGGGGCAGGACAATCGTGGGTCCTACAACCTCCTTTCCAGATCCCAAGGAAATCAGAGTAGAAAGGATTCAGAATTCCAAGGAGCCAGTTATGCCTAATGCTGTTCCTTCATTTGGCCTCTGGATAAACTGAAGAGAACACACAGCTAAGTTTAGTGGGAGAGAGATAGCAGTTTCCTGGAGGGGCAATCCCTAGGGAGAGAGGACCTGGGGCAGGCCTGTCCTGGCGTAACTTCCTGTGTGTCACCTGACCACTCTGAGGAAGAGCATGAAACTTGGCAGTAAAGCTCTCAGCTTCCCACCTACCAGCTGAATTAGCTTGGGCACATCACAAAATCTTCAATGCGCCGAAAGTGGGGGAATTACTGTAACTCCCAGGATTGTTTGTCACAGGTCAAAAGCAACTCTCAAGGTTAGGTGAAATCGCACAGCCTGACACAGTTAATAGAAGACTGATAGCAGAGAGAGAGAGGTCAGGATGAGGTACGGTGAAGGCCTGGTTGAAAGGCATGTTGGAACTGTGGACTGGGTGATGAGGAAAATGAGGGCCTGCATTTGGGAAGGCTTATTATAATGGTAATGTATACCTAGTGGTTAAGACTGCAGATTCTGGTCATTGGGTGACCTTGGCCAAGTCCTCTGATATCTCTGCTCAGCCTCTTCTCTGACATAGGAATAATGATAGCATCCTTTTCATAAGGTTATTGGAGGGTCAAATAGGCTATCAAATACAAAATGCTTAGCAGAGAGTCTAGTATATAGTAAATATCATATAAGTCGTAGCTATTTATTTGGGGCATATCTTGAGGTGTCTCTCAATTCATAATGACCACTTCACCCACAACCTGACCTCTCAGGTACCACTCTCACCCTCAGTGGCATATTTCCACCTTCCATGTTTGCTGAGGCCCTCGTCCTCTTTCCACAGTGGATTATAAATGGCTCCAGGGGTTGGGCCTTGAACAAAGTCAGCCAATCAGAGGCCTACCTTTTGAAATGATGACAATGAAGGTGGTAGTAAGAAAAGGGCAAAGGGAGGTAGGGAGAAGATTTGAGAGAGAGGTTGATTGGCTAAATTATTTCCTATTTGGCCATACTGGGAACACGGAGAGCTGTGTAGCAGCCATGTTCCCATCTGAGAAGCAAAGAAGGCTGGTTTGCAGAGAAAGAAGGAAAAATGAAGGGGACACACAGAATTAAGAAATGAGGAAAGTCCTGACCTCTTGATGGGCCCTGGTTCCAGTTCCTTTCTGGGTTTTGGCTACATCTTGCCCATGGTCTCTATGAGACACTCCTAAATCCCTAGAGTTAATCCACTCTGTTACATAAGCTTCCTCTAGTTTGCGCTTCTAACTTTCAATCAAAATGCTCTACCCAGTTTTAATTGAGAGAACAGAGTGAATTCTATGGATGATATCTTCACCCAGGAATTTCTGGTTATGATATGTACAGAAGCTGATGTTCAGCCATATGGGCTGAGCTGCACACCCTTGCTAAAATTCACTGGGCTGCCTGAGATGGGAAAATCGGGGCATGCTGAGAGAAGAGAGCAGGGTACCCGTTTCAGTATCTCTTCATGAATGAGCCAATATCTGAGATCTTGATATTTTACTTAATGTCTAGTTGGTTTAAGGCAAAAAGAACATGTATTTTTCTAATGTCTAGATGGTTTAAGGCAAAAAGAACATGTATTTTTCTTGGAACCCAACTAAACTGAGGGAAAAGCAGTTCCACAGCTGAGTCTTAAGAATAAGTAGATCCAGGGACTTGACCATCCTGAGAATTTCAGTATAGTCCCTTCTTGGGTTCTTTCTCTGTGTTGGCCTCACTCTTCCCTCTTCTTGTCCCTACATAAAAGAATTAAAAATAGCTTCAGACATCTTTCTACCCCTGAAAGGCAAGTCCTATTGGTGTGCAGTCCATAGACCAGGCAAAGGACTCATTGGTTTAGTTGCCTTGGGCAAGCATCCCATTCTGATAGCCCGGGCAGGCTGAGAAATGCCACTGGTTCCACTTAGGTGAAGAGCTCACTTCCAGGACCAACTAACTGGGCCAAGAGGCCACTGGCATGAATGAGACTTGATGACGGCAATCTATTTTGAGCAGAACAGGAGATCGTAGTGGGCAGATTTTCATACAAATCCTCTGTACCCTAAACTTTTGGGGGGCCTTCCATCTATTTTGAAATTATTCTCCATGCTCTATAAATAATGACCAAGATTTGCTTTAATTGCCTATTTCATTATCTAAGAAAATCTAATTGTAAGTTGCTAATAATATTCTACTTGGTATCAGAATATCTGATGGTGTGGGCTGGAGAGAGAGCTCTTCCATCTACTGTTCAGAGATGAATGAGCAACTTGGATTGCTCTATGATTGTTGTTCACCCATGGTCTTTTAAACACTACAATTAGCCTACTCTAGGTTCTGAAATTATCATGTTAAGCCTCAAAGTAAACAAAACAACTAATGTAAAGGTGCCATGATCTTGTTTTTGAAGGGTGTGTGTGTGTGTGTGTGTATGTGTGTATGTGTGTGTGATTTTCTTTAAATGGGATGAATACTTAGATTGGGGTGCAATTGTTACCTAAAGGCAGGTAATGGAGCAAATGATCTCTGTTTTCAACATAATTTGTTGTGGAGACACTGAGTTTGCCGAGGTAAATTCTAAAGCCTTATTGATATTTACTCCCATGTTAAGCAGAATTGTAAAACATAAGAGCCTTTTATACTACCTTTAGCCAAATCCATAAGTACATACTATTTTTAACCACCAGACTGACTGTATTATAAACTTTGAAGGTGTCCAAAAACAAGATACAAAATATTTCAATTAAATTGCTTGAGCACAAATGGGCTTTGCATACTTCTTGGAATCTCTCTTCAGTTTCAGTAGAATTCCTTTCCTTGTGTCCATGTCCTGAGATATTTCTTTCCATAAAGAGAAAGGTTGAATGCCAAGCTCCACTCTGCCCACCCTCCCTCCCCTCTCCCACAGCTCCTACCCTAACATGCACACATGTCTGTCACTACCATAGAAACAGTAAGATAGGTTATTTAATATTTTGGTATTTTTATTTTTTATAGATGTTTTCTGTATTAATTATGAGTGTAAAATACTGCATTAAAACATTATATATATTTTTTATGAATGCATTTGTCCCCCACTTTTAGATTTTGCTACTGAGCTGAGTACCTCATCCTTTTCCCAGTTCAGACTTGAGTTAAGGGTGCAGTGTAGCCTCTTAACAGTTCCTCAGTCTGGGTTTACCATTTCCAAACAAGAGTGATAACGGAAATGTCCTCATCAGGTAGCTTTGAGAATTGAATGAGATAGTACATGTAAAGCACTTAGAATGGTTGACACAGAGTCAGCAATCAATACACACTGCTAGCATTTCTACTGTTAATAATAACACAAATGACAGGGATAGCAATAATACTTAGCCAACAGTCATTAATAGTAAATTATAATCCCAATCCTGGAAAATCCAATCTACTGGGATGCTCAGACATGTAAATGGATCACCACCATTCAATGTACTGTGGCATGAATAAAGCTCAAAAGTAAGAAGAACTAACTGCTAAGCATTTAGAGAAGGGTTTTAAGTTGAGTACTGGAGACTGACTCGGAGGAGAGAAGAAAGTCATTCCAGGTTGAAACACCAGTGGGTACCAAGGCAATAAGGCTGGAAAAGGCCTGGAATATTCAGAGGGAGACATTGTCCGTAGTTCTAGTGGGGATTTCTGGTGGGAAAGATGTGGGAGGTGATGCTAATAAGGAAGAATATAATCCATGTATTAAGACCCTTGGATATCAGTTTAAAGAGGTTAATGTTTTGTTTGGGGGACAATAGGGAATGCTGTGGAATGATTTTTGAGGCTCTGTTTTGAGATGTTCATATATAAGTTTTATAACGGCAACTGCATGAAGAATGGACAGGAGAGGGGGGGGGACTGGAGGCAAGGATACCCATTAGGAGGCTATTTTAATATTCAGGAATAGAAGATGAGCGTCTGAGTCAAAGTGCTCACTGTGTTGTTAGAAAGCAGTACAAGATCTGAGCCACCTTTAAGAGGCAGAGACAATGAACGGGACGGGTGGTTGATGTGGAGTGCTGTGGGGAGGAAGGAGAAGTTGGGACTGATTAGGAGGTTTCATCCATAGTACCTGATGGAGAATGGTGAGGGGGATAAATGTAGGCATATATGTGGTCAGAAAAAGAAGAAAGGAGTCAGAGTTTAAACTCATTCCCTTTGAAATACCAGGCACTGTCCAAGCTGAAATGTTCACTAGCCAGTGGAAATATCAATCTGAGACTCAGCAGAAAGGTGAGGCTGGAGTTTGGGTAACGAATAGAGTCTGGGAAATAACATGCGCTACCTCTGGGAGAGTTGCCCTGAGAAAGGAGGGTGGAGGCTCAGAGTGATTATCCTCAGTTTTATCTTTTGATGGCTCTTAATACTGTGTCTTCCCATGGGGGACTTTGGCCTGGTCCCCCAGCAAATGTCCCCAGTCTCCTTACCCTGGCTATCTGGTCTGCCATTTGGAGTCGTCCATCCAGCTCCCGTCGGATCTGTGCTGCCTGCTCATCTGGATTGTCCAGCTGCAAGAAACACAAACATGAAGACTTTCAATCTGCATCACAAAAGCCAATAAACTGAAGGCTTTCCATCTCACACTCACACTCTGTGCTCCATGGGCATGTTTCATTGAAAGTAAAAATTCTTGTAACAGACAAGTCCAGTTTCAAGGAAATCCCATGTTACATTCTTTTAGGGAGTGTGAAGTGGTTGGCAGTTGTTAAGAAAGATATCTGAATGAACTTGTACAAGAATCATGTGTGAATTGCGAGGCAGCAGTGTTTTCAAGGAGGGCCCATACAGCACCTCTGTTTTTGGCCCAGTGAAGAAAGTGCTTACACAGCAGATATGCAAGGAAAGAGATTAACTGTTATATTGTATGGAGCAGAGTGTGCAGCCATAGTGCCTACATGGCACATATTCTTGTGCTCTCCCACCGATGGACCATGAAAGATTAGTCAGCCACTGCTTTCCTTCTCACTGAGCCTTCCCAACCAGCACTCCAGAGGGCCACTGCCACTTAGCTGGGGTTGCTGTCTAAGCTGAAATCTATCTTTGTCTTCCATGGTTGTTAGAGCTATTATGGTATAAGGATCAAAACATGTAAGCATAAATAAATGTGGAAAATTCCTTAATATATCTGGTTTCAATTTTCCCATCTACAGAATGGAGGAGGTGGTTATGTAATCTCCATCTTTTCCACATATTTCTATAAATCTATGAAAGATATTGACAACTATTTCTCTACATGGCCATATAGTTAATAGGGGTTGAGGGCCATAGATATATCGCTGTTGCAATGACTAATGAAGTGTGAAAACAGCCATAGACAATCCTATATAATAAAAACATAATATGAAAATTGTCCCCTTGACTGGGAGGTCATCTGAGAATTCAACCAGGAGGCGAGGCTCTGGTCAGCAGCCAGCAGCTGCTAGGGACCCTACAAGTGCACTAATTCCAAGCACTGAGCCTCTAGTATGTAAGTAAATGAGCACTGCTTTGCTCCAATAAAATTTTATGCACAACAATAGGTGGCAAGCCAGAGCTGCTAATCCCTGCCCTGTGAATTGATGTTCTTCCTTTATTTCTAAATGAGCTCAATGTCATCCTTCAAACTGTAATTGAGTCTGCTTTGCTAAGTAATTTATGATTTATTTTAACCAGAGTAAAGTTTAATAAGTAGGGGAAAATAACATTAAACTAGGATGGGTTTTATTCTTCTTTTTAGTATATATTAACTCACAACAAAAAGTAGCATAGGTCATCTGTGAGTTTTCTAAGTTCCTTTCTTTTAAAAGCTACTTTTATTCATAAACTTGAAAATGATGAAATTTTTATTCAGAAATTTGAAAATGCAAACTCAGGATCGTGCTAAAGAAATAATGTCATCTATGCTATAAAATGGTATAGAAAAGAAGTTATTTGTACCAGGAGGTAAATAAGAACACTAGAAAATGTATGGTCATACTTTTGAAGCATCATGACTAGTCTTGGTTTTGCAACACACATAGAAGCCCATCTAGCTTTTTGCTGTGCATTTTTAAAAATCCTTACCCAAGAATATTTTTTCATTAACTTTTTTTTAGATAGATTGATGTGAGAGATTGATGTAAGAGAAACTCAACACATTGGTTGCCACCTGCACGTGGCCAGATTTGGCCAAGGATTAAACCTACAATCCAGGTACCTTCCCTTAACCAAGAATCAAACTTAGACCCTTCGGAGTATAGGCTGATGCTCTAACCACTAAGAACACAAGCCCAGGCTATGCTGTAAATATTTTTTTTACCACTCTGTTCCATTTTCCTTTCCACATTTTTGAGGAGCAAGACTGTTTCATAGACCATGACGACTGCAACTTTTGGCAATATATTATATAATAGCATTTCCAAAAGGGTGTTCAACTAAAATCAGTATTATAAGATACTCCAGAAAAAAATGGCTTTAGAAGCCTCCAGCAAAATGGCCAAAAAGGTTTGGGAAAATTCTCTGTTGAAATGCATAAAGTGTCTGAGAAGTTCTGCAGTAACAATATCTGTTAGACTTTGACCAACTAAGATCTTCTATTATAACTTAATTTTTTTTTTTTTTGCATAATGCTCAGAGAACATGAGTTGGAAATTCTGTTCTCAAGAAAGAGGACCTCCTGAAAACAGTCACATTGCTGGCCAGTAGAACACTGATCCTTGCTTGTAATTAGATGTATGTAGAAAACAATATATCTTTAATGTTGTTTTTAAGTTCAAATAAGCTGTTTTTATTTGAGTCCCCCTGAATCCCAACAGTTCTTCAGAACCAGGTGAAACCATTGGGAACACTCAAAAATGTTCAAAATACATATGCAAAGGAAACATCTGACTACTCTACTGAGAGGCAGCAATGTGATTTGTTTAGGGGCTAAAGTTGAGAATTCTGTTAGAACATAAAGCTAAAATCCTTAACAAAACAAGCAATACATTAAAAATATCATATACCATCATCAACTGGGATTTATTCCAGGGATGCAAGGTTTATATAATATACACAAGTCAATAAATGTAATACACCACATAAACAAAATGAAGGACACGATTATATCAATAGATGTGAAAAAAGCATTTGATAAAATCCAACACCCATTTATGAAAAAGAAAAACATTCCTCAGTAAAGTGGCAATAGAGAGGACATACCTCAATGTAAGAAAGGCCATATATGGCATACCTAAAGCCAACATCATACTCAATGGGCAAAAATTAAAGCATTTCCATTAAGATCAGGAACAAGAGAGAGATGTCCCCTTTCAGTGCTCTTATTCAATATAGTACTAGAAGTTCTAGTCACAGCAATCAGACAAGAAGAAAAAATAAAATGCATCCAAATTGGAAAGAAGGAAGTAAACATTTCCTTATTATTCTCAGGTGAAATGATATTGTACAGAGAAAACCCTAAAGACTCCACCAAAAAGCTACTAGATCTACTAAATGAATTTGGCAAAATGGCAGGATACAAAATTAATATTTAGAAATTGGTGGCATTTTTATAAACTAATAATGAACTATCATAAGAAGAAACTAAGAAAACAATCTCATTTACTATTGCAACAAAAAGATGAGGTATATAGAAATAAATTAAATCAAAGAGGTAAAATGCCTGTACTTGGAAAATTATATATAGTACATTGAAGAAAGAAATAGAGGAAGATACAAATAAGTGGAAACATAAACTGTATTCATGAGTTGGAAGAATAAATATCATTAAAATATTCATACAACCCAAAGCAACCTATAGATCCAATGCATTTCCATTAAAATACCATTTTCACACAACTAGAACAAATAACCCAAAGATTTATCTGGAACACCCCCCCCTCCAAAAAAAAAAGTCCCCAAATAGCTTCAGCAATCATGAGAAAGAACAAAGTTGGAAGTATCACAATACTAAAAGGCCATTGTAATAAAAACAGCCTGGTACTGGCTTAAGAATAGACATATAGACCAATGGCACAGAACAGAGACCAGAAATCAACCCACGTCTATATGATTAATTAATATTTGACAAAGGAGGCAAAAGCATGGAGTAAAAATAGTCTCCTTAATAAATGGTATTGGAATGGGGGAAAAAGGGGGACATATGTAATACTTTCAACAATGAAGATTTTTTTAAAAAACAATACTGGGGAAATTGGACAGGTACATGCAATAAAATGAAACCAGACCACCAACTTATACCATACACAAGAATAAACTAAAAACAGATAAAAAACTTAAATGTAAGTCATGAAATCATAAAAATCCTAGAAGAAAACATAAGCAGTAAAATCTCAGACATCTTTTGTAGCAGTGTTTTTGCTGATAAGCCTTTAAGGCAAGGGAAACAAAGAAAAAAAAATAAATAAATTGAACTACATCAAACTAAAAAGCTTCTGCAGAGCATAAGAAACCATAAAAAATGAAAAGGCAACCCACTCTATGGGAGAACATATTTGCCAATGATACATCAGATAAGGGATTAATTTCTAAAATATAGATAGAACTTATACAACTCAACACCAGGAAGACAATCCAATTAAAAATGGGTAAGGGACCTGAATAGACACTTCTCCAAAGATGTCATAAGGTGGCCAATAGACCTATGAAAAAATGCTCAATGTTACTAACCATCAGAAATGCAAATTAAAACCACAGTGTCACCTCACACTTGTCAGAATGGCTACCATTAATAAACCAACAAACAGCAAGTGCTGGCAATGTTGTGGAGAAAAGGGAACGCTAGTGGGAATGCAGACTGGTGCAACCACTGTGGAAAACAGTATGGAGTTTCCTCAAAAAATTAAAAATGGAACTGCCATTTGACCCAGTGATCTCATTTCTAGAACTATATCCTAAGAATCTCAAAACACCAGTCAGAAAAAATACATGAACCTCTATGTTCATAGCAATGTTATTTACAATAGCCAAGATCTGGAAACAGCCCAAGTGCCCATCAGTAGATGAATGGATAAAAAAGATGTGGTTCATTTACACAATAGAATACTACACAGCCATAAAAAGCGAGGAAATCTTATATTTAACAATATGGATGGACCAGAAAGTTATGCTAAGTGAAATAAGCCCATTAGAGAAAGAAAAATAAAATATGATCTTATTTATATGTGGGATCTAATGAACAAAACAAATTAATGAACAAAATATAAAAGGAAGCATGAATACAGGAACAGACTGACAGCTATCAGAGGGGGGGAGGAGGGAGGGACTGGATGAAAGAAGATGAAGGGTTTGATCAAAGAACATATATACATAACCCATGGACACAGCCAACAGTGTGGAGATGGCTCGAGTGAGGCAGGACAGGAGCAGGGTAGAGGTGGGTAAAGGGGGGAAAATAGAATATCTGTTATAATCCTATATAATAAAGTGCTAATATGCTAATTAGACAGAACAGCAGAACAACTGTGCAGATGACCTTCCAGATGAAGCTGGGGCTGTGAGGACCAAGGCAGCTGGGGCTTCAAGGGGTGTGCACCAGCACAAATTTTGTGCA